CCAAATTCATGTGTAAAGAATAATTTTGGGTACATTTTGTTCTAAAGCTTATAGTGAATTATTACACTTCTAAGAGGCATAGGGAATAATCTAGCGAAAGTCCAAACTCGATACATAACATAGGGAATGAAACTTTACATACAGTTACATATTATGTACAATTACTTAGATACGTTAAATAAGTAAGTCTTTACACTATGGTTAAATCTACAGCTGTATGAATTCGTGCATCTTATGTTAGGTGTTCTGCAATTTTGTGCATGCATTATATCTATAATTGTGTAGGTATTACTGGTTCTCTTAAAGACTTGTTATATCGGACATACCGGCAAGAACTAAACTCAAACAATTGAGCCTGAAGCCCCCGTTTGCGCTTTCACTTTCGTGCGTGAAGTCAGCTGACCATTTTGAATTGCCCATAATTTTTGTATGGTTGGTTTTGCTGACTTACCTTATACGGCACAAACGAGCACAAACGAGGCACAAACGATTAAACCTAAATCCGTTGTTTGTGCTTTTCATGGTCAGCTCACTTCACGGACCCCAGTATTTTGAACTAGTATAATCTTGGAACTGTTTTAAATTATGGATTCAACAGGCCACATTCTACAAGAAAATTTTTTTTCCGGGTCATTCTGAGACAATTTTTTTTCGGTCCTCAAAAAAAGGCAGTGTATAACCTTCCTTTTTTACCAAAAATCGACTACACAAAAATTTCTCGGGAAAACACTTTTTCTTATTAATTTTGGTGCGTAGAATCCAAAACAATTCGTACTTTTTCGATCAGACTTCTCAATTAAAAGTTATAGACTAGAAACCAATTTCGAAAGAAAATTCAAAGGGCTGTAACTTTTGATCCAGTAGCCCAATCTTGGAACTGTTTGAAATTATGGATTCTACAGGCCACATTCTATAAGAAAATTTTTTTTCCGGGTCGATCTGAGACAATTTTTTTTTCGGGCCTCAAAAAAGGAAGTGTACGTACAACCTTCGTTTTTTACCAAAAATCGACTACACCAAAATTTCTCGGGAAAACACTTTTTCATATTAATTTTGGTGCGTGGAATCCAAATCAATTCGGACTTTTTCGATCACACTTCTCAATCAAAAGTTATAGACTAGAAACCAATTTCGAAAGAAAATTCAAAGGGGGCTTTAGAACTAGTAGCCCAATCTTGGAACTGTTTGAAATTATTACTTTTACTCCCCTTAAATTTGTATATAACAATATAAATTTAAAAAGAGCTTAACCCCATACAAAGTATAACTTGATTTTTTAAGTAGTATTAAGACTTTTATCTAGTATACTATTTTACATTTTTAATGTATTTGAGTGACAAGTATTTGAATACTTTTTACTGTATTCGAATACTTTTCAAAGTAAGTTAATGAAATACTTTTCAAAGTATTCGAATACATTCTAAAGTATTTGAATACTTATTTTTTAAAGTATTTGAATACTTTTCAATGTATCTGTATCTAGTATTCGCTTGTGCTGGACGTAAAAGTATTTAGTATTCAAATACCTTTGATTTGTGTAATGTAGGTATTTACTATTTAGTATTCAAATACTTTTTGAAAGTATTCTGCCCAGCTCTGGTCTATACCTTCATAAATAAATTCTTTTCACGGAGTGGAGTTTTTTGTTTATGAAGTCTCTTAGTGTACAATGGAAAATGTGCTTAAGAAATTATTATTGTTTTATTTAACACTGTAGTCTTGAGTCATTTTGATCGTGTTCTTGTTGAACACTATAATAGCGCGAGTTCATAACAAATAGGTTGCTAACTACCTGCCATTCTTGTCCTTATATTAATTCCCATCCAGTCTTTACATCTCACTAGCACATATTTGCAACTTTAGACATACACACACGAAATAAAAATCATTATTTTCACTGTCAAAATTAGACAAACAAACTCATTAATAACTCGCAGAATAACACTCCTGATTTTAGAAAAATGAGCTGTATTTGCAATAGCACCTTACTATCTTCATCGCCGTAATTCACAGAAAATGAGACGCTAACGTTTGTAACGTCGGTAATACAGAACACGCATGTATCAAATCCAAAACGCATATACATAACATATAATCCCATGTATATACATAGCACATCCAAAATGTATATTTATAGAATATCCATACTGAACATAAAATACATATGCCTATCCTATAATGAATATACATAGTATATACATAATATGGACTGGACAGGATATTCCCTGTGCATTATGGATTTAAAATGTATATACATAAGATATCGAATGCTATGTGGGAAGAGACGCAGGAGGCAATACCCAATACAAAGAAGGAGGAAAGATCAGAATAGCCGGGAGGGAGGTAACCATGAAGCACAAGATGAAATATCCCTCAGTAGGCACAACACGGTGGAAGACAGAATAATCAAAGCATTCAAATTCACACATGTAATGCGGACATGTTGAAAATGCTGTTATACAACATGATCATAGCCCGACAATCTTATACGGACTGAACAAACAAAAGATGGGAAGGGGTGAGCAGAGACAAACACAAAATGATGAAAGAAAGCAGACGAGTGTTGGAGGGGGAGGAGGAGGAGGAGAGAGAGAGAAAGGGAGGCAGGGAGAGGAGAGCAATAAGGAAGGGAGAAACAAGAAAGAAGGAAACGAAATCAAAGGATGGAGGCATCGGAAACTAATACCGGTGGATAGGCTATCACCAGGACGCAGAAGTCCCTCTAATGCAGATATTCCAGTGGCGAAGCTGAGCCAACAACCAGTTAGCCCCCCCGTAACTATGATTTTTTACTTAAATAAATAAAAGACAAAAAAACACCTGATGCCTTACCTTTTATTGCGCTGGTCCTTGGTAGGGTCTTTATAAATCGTAATGTTGCACTTATTGATTTATTGGTTAGGCAAAATGAAAATTTGATTTATCTCATTTGCGTAGGGCCGTATCTATATTCTATCTTTCAATGCATTTTGACACTTTTCGGGCACATGAATAAAGACACATCCGTGCGTGGGGAGGAAATTGCATAAATAAAATTAATTTCTGATTAATTTAGGGTTGTAGATTCAACACGATACAGAAAATGTAAGCGAAAACCCAAGTCTACAACAAAAAAAAGATTCAGAAAATTAAGCAAACAGAAGAAAATTCAGAGCAGTCGGTCAAATAAGTAACCGAATTTTCACCCAATTTTTTTATAAAAATACCACGCGTCCCTGTTAATAATAATAATAATAAGTTTATTTCTGTTAATATGCTATAAAGAGGCATTTACAGACGTCAAAATAAAAATACATATTCAAAAATTATTAAATTAATCTGATGTTACTGCTCATAAACTCATTCACACTATAGAAAGCATGGTTAATTAAAAACATTTTTTACTCAATATTTTAAAGTGTTTATCGGTAAGTCACGTACCCGTACCCCCGACGGCATCAAATTAAAGAGTTTGAAAGATATATTCACAAAACTTTTGTGAGTTTTTTCTAGTCTATAGAACGATAGGTTCACCTCATTTCGGTGTCGCGTGTTGTGTTCATGCACCTCAGACCTTCTGTTGGTATTGGTTGATGCTATTTTTGGCGTAGATTATGCATGTTAATATGTATATGCATGGTAGTGTTAATAGCCGCTGTTCTATAAACATATGTTTGCAGTTCTCTCGATAACCGACCATTCCCAATATTCTTATAGCCCTGCGTTGCAGAGAAAATATGCGGTTTGCTGAAGACGTGTTTCCCCAAAGGATGTTACAATAATAGATATTTGCTTGTATTAGGGAGGCATATACTATTCTTAGAATGTCGGTTGAAACACTCTGAGATAGACGTCGTAATAGATATATGTTTCGATTGATAATTTTGCCAATTTCGTTTATATGCTCACTAAATGTAAATTTCGGGTCTATCTGTACCCCCAGGAACTTCACATGAGGAGGATTAGGAATGTCATGCTGTCTAAGCGATATCAACATGTCCACTGTCTTCGTTTCATTTAAGCGTAATTCATTTGCGTCACACCATTCTTTTGCCCGACTTGTAGCAGCCTTACAACCAAGGACAACATTATGAAGACTTTCATTGCTGATCGGAATAGTTGTGTCGTCGGCATATTGTATACATGTTCCAACGTCTTCTAGATGATACGCTAAGTCACTTGCGTATATAATAAATAGAAATGGCCCCAGGATAGATCCTTGAGGGACGCCCTTCTTTAACTGTAGAAATTTCGAGATAGTTCCATTTACACATACAGCTTGTTCCCTATTTTCCAAAAATGATGCTATTAATACTAAACTTGTCTCGTCGAAATTATATATTGCCTCTAACTTCTTGATTAGAATTTCATGAGATACGCTGTATCTAAAGAGTGGTAAGCAATTATTTAATAGCATAACCTTTTCGTTTCATTGCTTAACATATTTTTCTCTGGGGAAATCAAACAGAATTTAAATTTGAAATATCTTTAGAACGTCATATACAAACATATATTTGTCTTTCAAGGTAAATTTTCCCAAGAATAGCTTCATTTAATAACTTGTGAGTAGAAACAGAAATCCCTATAGTTTAAATATTCCTACCTGCGTCTCTCATCTTCCCAATCTTCCAAACATTATTCACAAATTCACAGACAGACTTTTTAACCAAAAGACTCTCGTTTCTTAATATAACGACGGCATTTTATCATACCGCTTCCAGCATGTATGCGCATCCTGAGTGTACTATCAAACGAACCTTATCCTTGTGAAATTTGGCCAGAAATCATACGAGTCTGAAGAGCTTTTAGATCGTAACTTATTTCATAGGAGCTCTGAATTTAATTAAACGTTTAATTCACGAACTTTGTACATGATAAAGTTTTAAGCTAGAATAGAGCTCGATAATACATGCATGTTAACATAACCGTAATTCAGGCACTGCTGTCTAAATTTATTCCAAAGAAATAGAAACAGGTATTGGGTGATAAAAAACGTACTTTATTAATTGCAATTGCGGCAAATGTTGTGTTTATACAAACTCGAATACGTTACAAAAGAAATAAATAATTTAAGTTACGTTCAACAAAATCAGCTTATATAAGGCGGAAGATACTGACGCGACTGCTGGTCTGACGTTCCTGCATGCTGCGAACCAGGCGCACCATTCGAATAGCCGTTTCCTGCGGGAAAACCTCCCGTTGATTGTGGTGCTTGATTATTTCCTGGTCTTTGGACTTCGGGTTGTTGACCTTGCGGCGAGGGCTTTTGTGGCGATGAGCTGGGGAAAGACGAAGCGGCACTTGGATAGCTAGGAACGTTTCGGTCTGGCTGCGTGTAACCCGGTGCGCCGGATCCTGGATAGCCAGGGGCATTTCTGTCCGGCTGCGTATAACCTGGTGCGTTAGATCCTGGATAGCCTTGAGCGGGACTTGGATAGCCAGACGCGTTTCGATCCGGCTGCGTATAACCTGGTGCGCCTTGGGTGGGTCCACGATAACCATTTGGTGCGTTTCCTTCGTCTTGTGGACGTGTGGGGTAATAACCGGATTTTTGAGGAGACTGTCCTGGTTGTCTGTCTGCCGCGGTAGAACCTTGAGGAGCTCCCGGGGCGTTAGAACCCGGAAATTCAGGTTGCCCGGGAATGCTCTGCGGCACACGGTATGAATAATCGTAAATGTTCGCGTTAATGCCGTAGAGCGATGGAGCCGAATTACAATCGAATTGATTCCACCATACACATACTAAATACTCTTGGTGGAAGACTGTGCCGTTTGGACAGAGGAAATCATACATTTTGTTGTTGGCGCAGACATGAAATACTTGGCACCGCGCTTCTACATCCGCATAGTAACCTGGATACTGTTGCTCTTCGCATTTAAAGGACGTCTCCGGTATATATGAGTATATAGGGTAATCGGCTTCGGGTTGTCCCGGAATTGCGGAGTAATCGCCGTCTTCGGCAGTTCCGCGATATTGACCGTCATCTTCGTTTGGTTGTCCGGGGAATTGTGGTTGCTGTTGCGGAAATTGTGCTGAACCTACGCCAGAATAGCCTGGACCAGAAGGTCTTTGATCTGTAAAACATTTTGATATAACTATATTTAGCCACTGACGGTTACCTACCTAATTTTTCAGGGAAGCTGGGTTGGCCAGTGGGGGATTGTGGTGAAGAGGGGAAACCAGAAGGAAAGCTACCGGGCCTTTGAGGGCTCGTATAACCCGAAGGTGCCGATGTAGACGGCCCGATTGGAAAACCTCTTTGTTTATCTGGGTATTGAGAACTTGGTGATGGTGTAGGATAATTTGGAGATGATGGATATCCAAACGGCTGCGATGCTGTGGGAGGCCTAGACTCGGGTCCTTGGTATGCTGAACTAGGACTCTGGCTTCCTGCTGTAGGATAGCCCGTGTTAGGTGAAGAGTAACCAAAGCCGGGAGAGCCCTGTCCTTGATAGGCGCTGTCGGGTCGGTTTGATTCAGGTTGGCTGGGGTATGCGGGTGCGCTTGTAGGATAATTAGAACCAGGTGAACTTGGGCCGGGTAACGCAGAGCTAGATGGTTTTTGGCGTTGGTAAGCGGCGTCTGAACCTGGGTAACCAGTGGAAGGAGGGCTTGGCGTTGGGAATCTTTGGGCTGGAGAAGTAGAAGATGGATAACCCTGTCCTGGATATCCAGCAGCAGGCGAACTTTGTCCTGGATAACCGGCGGCTGGTGAGCCTGATCCTGGATAACCAGCGGTAGGTGAACCTGATCCTGGGTATCCACTAGCAGGCGAGCTTGATCCTGGATAACCTGCGGCAGGTGCGTCTGATCCTGGATAACCACCGGTAGGTGAACCTGATCCTGGATATCCAGCGGCAGGCGAACTTTGCCCTGGATAACTGGCGGATGGTGAGCCTGATCCTGGATAACCAGCGGTAGGTGAACCTGATCCTGGGTATCCAGCAGCAGGCGAACTTTGTCCTGGATAACCGGCGGGTGGAGAGTCTGATCCTGGATAACCACCTTTAGGTGAACCTGAGCCTGGGTATCCAGCAGCAGGCGAACTTGATCCTGGGTAACCAGCGGCTGGTGCACTTGAACCTGGGTATCCACCGGTGGGCGAACCTGGTGACCCTTGTTGTCCTGGGTATTTTGGCGTGGGCGACTTTTCGGATCCAATAGGAAACTGCGTTGGTGATCCTGAAGGTAATTGTTGCCCGGGAGCGCCTGGGTATGGAGAGCCGGAAGGATATCCTACATTTGGCGCACCCTGAGCAAAATTAGTAGGTGGACCGGATGGTTGAATGCCAGGACCGGAAACGCTCGATCCGGCATCAAACGGCTTATTAGGGCGACTGTAGTCGTATCCCTGTCCTTGTATGGTGCTTACGCATGCTAATACCGCTGAAATGAAAACAACGAGGTATTAGATTGACTTTTCCTTTTATCTTTGAGACAGCAAACAGTTTGTGTAAATTGTAATTAATTTCCACTCAAGCAGCGTTGCTAAAGTGATCTGACAAATGACTGACATAATAAAAGAAACTAAGTTACGAAATAAATCTGCAATTGAAAAAGCGAAGGTATTCACTGATGCTGAATACGTTATTAGCTTATAATCATCGATTGCATCCTATAAACGATTTTAAGCGTCTTACAACTTGAAAAACTTTTGAAAAAGCAATTTCACAGACTCATTACTTAACGTTTGTAATGTTTACACTTAAAATAGGTACACAAAGAATTGCTCAAACTTTATGCAATGGAAAATAAAATCAGTATAGATCTCAATTGTATGTTTTATTTACGTGAGAACGTGTGCTTGAAATGTACGGGGTTACCTCAATTTACACTAATCGACTTGCGCAAAATTTTAATAATTTAAAATTACCGGCTACGAGAGATATCCAGTTCATCCTTCTCGATTAGAGTCACTGAAGCACCCTTTAAACTAAAACACCGAATCGAGTGAGCGATGAAGACTAAATTTCGAAGTTTAACCGACGGAATTTATACTAAATCATCCCTTAGTATATTTTCGAAGGATTCCTACTCTACAACGTAAAAATAAAGCCGATAGAAGAGAGGGGCCACTTAAAAAATTAATAGTGGGAAATGCTCTTAGATGATACAACAATTTCGTGCAAATTCTTAAGGAGATCCTTTGATGCATGTTTATGATTGGCTAATACTTTCACTTTAGTTTATGGGTACTGATTCATTTATCGCATCTTCCTACTTAGATAAACCTTAAGTAATCGTGCATTCGATCATTTTTTGCTCTTCTTGCGAGGACGTTCCGAACGATTTTTCTGAGGAGCTGTCAGTTACAATTAATATCGTTAAGGGGGTCACGGTTAATTGTACTTTTTTGATAATCGTTTAAAGGTAGATACCATTCTTGCTCCGGTCGATAACTTAATTAGACACTCCGTGCGAAACATACTCGTACTCACGCATTAATTGAAGAGGCTTTGTGAAGTTCTAATTGATAGGTTTGGTTTTTGGGGAATTAAATAAAGTTTTAAATATGTTGCAATGATGTACTCGTCCCAGTGAGCCTCTTTTTCAATAAAATATCGACTTCATAATCGGCTTAGGAATTGTAGAATATTGGAACTAAAGTATAAATCACTTGTGTTTATTAAATTTTATCCTATGCAACCAATTGATTGCAATGTTTATTTTTTTTAAATGGCACGCTCTTATTTTTTAAGTAACGCACTAAATTGTTCACAGTTTACAGATTTTCGTTTCCTCGTGGTAGAAATCCTTAATCGCGCTGCACCATATAATCCTTAAATTAATTACATTCAAATCCTCTTATACAACATTTAAGGGATGAAATGTTGAATGCCCAAATGAGCGGAATAGGATAAGCACATATATCCGTTATTAAGAATTACTATTCAGCAATTTTTGTAAACCCATCATGGAATTGACTGTCCAATTAAATGCATCTGAAATAATCGGCCCACTATTTATAAGAAAAGAAGATTTGTAATGACGATCTGCATTTGTACCCACTTGCTTTGTGCAGTTTTGTGCCACGTTTTGTGCGTTAACGATATAATGAAACTATATTTTCAATCTGAGGTAACGGTCACAACCAAAATTTCCAATTAATGAAGATTGTCACAAAGGTAACTGACAGCAAATTAAATTCTTTCTTTCCCATAGCAACAAATAAGTGATATTTTCGTTTGTTTTTGTTTTCTATCTGAACAAATTAAGATAGGTCCATTAAATAAATTGAATAAAGATTTTTTTAATTTTCTCGAAGACGAATCGACCGATTTTAAAAAATCAAACGACAAAATAAGGCATTTCAAAAGGTCTTTGTAACAAGCTATTACTCGATTACACTTGTCATTTAAAATTTTTAAGGGAATGACCCTGGGGGGCAGAGGGTGAAAGTTGTCCCCCTTGACAAATCGCTTGACGTGTCTCGGAGTTTTTTCCTTTGATCAGTGGTTTTGGATAAATCCGTGTGGGAAGTTTGCAAATGAATGATTGGAAAATAGGAAATGCCCTTTTGGATACAACATTTATTACATAAGGTGAAAGCAACAAAATCAATGTATTTAACCATTTCCTATAATAAACGCAGAAAAAATTTCTTCCTTGGTGCAAGTCTCGATACCATAACGAAACAAACCAAAGAAGCAGCAGCCGTAGGGGCGGCCGGAAGGACGGACAGACCGACGGACAGACAGACGGTCGGACAGACGTACGGACAGATTTATTTGTTTATTTATTTATTGTCCCTCTCTTCTTCTGGTAAAGGGCTGTAACTTTTGAACTAGTAGCCCAATCTTGGAACTGTTTGAAATTATGGATTCTACAGGCCACATTCTATAAGAGAATTTTTTTCCAGGTCGATCTGAGACAATTTTTTTTTCGGGGCTCAAGAAAAGGCAGTGTATAACCTTCCTTTTTTACCAAAAATCGACTACACCAAAATTTCTCGGGAAAACACTTTTTCTTATTAATTTTGGGGCGTAGAATCCAAAACAATTCGTACTTTTTCGAT